CTACCACACAGAGCATTCTCTGTCATGATAGGCCCCGAAATGTCCTTTCTGATGCCAAATGCAATGCTGTTCCTCTTGATTGTGTCATTCCCAACATTGTAGAAACCATGATTTTCTGATTCAAGATGGCCAATACAATGCCTAGGACATCAATTTTTGTGTTCCATTTCATTTTTGATGACGTCCAGTGTTCCTAGATTCACACTTCATACATTCCAAGTTTTGATTATTCACTGGTGTTTGCAGCTGTTTCTTCTCATTTTGAGTTGTGCTTCTTCAGCAAATGAAGGTCCTGACGGCTCTACTCCAATCACAGCACTGTGGTCAACACTAATTTGAGAAGGCAGTGTGTCCTCAGTTATATTTTGAGCCTTGGGGCTCATCTTCTGACGCTATCTCTGATCATGTTCCAATGCTACCCACACCCATTCAGTGGCTAATTCCTCTGAGTAGACAGCCTAGTCCTTCTTCGTAATCTGTTCTTAAGTCTGAAAACTCAGTTGAAATCTATTCTCTTGGGTGACTCCTGCCACTATTTGAAACACCTGTGACAAAGCTTTTCAGCATCACAAAAGCCACCACAGTACTAAGTTCCCATTTAGCATGTCAGATCAACACCAGCCTAAAGGCAGACTTACATGCCTTCAAGTTTACAGTATCAAGTAGAGGGAGTGTTCCCCATTTAGACATAATAAGCATGCTAATAATCCACGCAAGGGTAAGGGAGAGGCAACTACTTCATACAAAATCTATTTAAATCTTCCAATTCTCATCCAAAAACACTTTCCTTAGTCCCATCATCTGTTGCATCTCCACATTCTCCGCGTCTAAGCCCTTTCAGTATTTCATGGGCAGCTTTGAGGATTACAGTGAATTGGGCACGTGTGCCCAGGAAGCTCAAAGGGGTCTCTTCCCCATCCCCGGGCCATTTTACACACATCTGCTTATGGCCTGGGTTCCCTTGCTGGGGCCTGCACCAGAAGACCCTAAGCCCTTCCTCAATCCTTATCTTCATCGACTAGGAGTTTCTCTGCTGCACACAATCCCAAGTGGGGATGCCCATCATTGACTACCCCCAGCTGGAGTCAACAGAATGGACTTGTTTAGAACTTCGGAACACTGGGGGACCAGTAGGAGTTCCCATTGGTCCACTCGATGTGCTGTCAGACTGCTCGAGAACCCTGTGTTGATGCCCTCAATGTCTGCATGTTCATTCCATTTCTTAGAAACCATCTGAAAATCTCTTTCCTACTGGGATGAATTCTTTCCCAAAGCCCCATTCCCACTCTCCCAAAGTCTATGCGTGCGAGCTGGGTCTTCTGAGCTGACACAGCGTCTCAGATTGCTGCTGCTTCGCAGCAGTGAAGTTCATGGGGGGCCCATGAGAAAGGACTCCCTTGATTACTGTATCTGCCATGACCTGTGCGAGGGGCATGCTCACTGGATAAATCTCCAGAGCACTACAAAGCCATTCCAGCATTACCATGTAGTGGTAATAACCTCTTTCAGATGAATTAGTATAATTAGTTTCAGAGTCGGGGGCTGATGATGCCCCAAATGTCCAACTCTTCCATGATGCTATTCAGCTCCACCCCCACCCCCCTCTTCCTTCATATTTCTGGGTTCATCTCATCGCTGCAACGTCCCACAGAAAGTCATGAAAGTTTGGGGAATTGTCTGACATGGTGGTGGGTGCTGTTTAGTTAAAAATTCTAAGGTCAGGCAGAGGTAAGCGAGATGTTGGGTCCAGAGGGCACACTCCACTCCTGGCTCTTGCAGGTGATGAGATACTTCCCTCTCCTCAGAAGGCTCATTTTAAGCACAGCATTATAGCATTGCAGGGAATCCTTCTGCACTTACTCACAGGTAAATCCTACTGGTATCTTGCCCGACTTGCGTACCAGACCCATGAAGGGGAAAGCGGTTTGGTGGGAGTTACAGTGAGTATCAATAGTGCAATCAAATGAACAGGTAACCCATCACCTTTTCAGTAATACTCCCATGTACTAATCTATCCTCCACCCCTGGCCTCTGTGTAGGCACAGATGACTGGAGGCCTCTGGCAGGATGTCTCCAGCAGGTGATCATCTCACAACAGCCAGGCTTTTCCCCAGTCCACTGGAGAAGCAGGCTTCTCCTCTCGGCTGTCCCCCATCAGTTCTCACACCTCGTACCCAGAACCACCACGAAACAGGGCATGCCGACTGCTTCACAGCCTTTACTAAGGCAGTGGTTCTCAACCCTGCTCATACCGCGACCATTTCATACAGTTCCTCATGTGGTGGTGACCCCCAACCATAACATTATTTTTGTTGCTACTTCATCACTGTCATTTTGCTACTGTTATGAATCGGTGACCCCTGTAAAAGGGTTGTTCAACCCCCAAAGGGGTCCCGACCCACAAGTTGAGAACCACTATACAAACGGCAAGCCCAAATCTCATCTGATTCCTGACCCTTAGCAGATCATGCCCTCCAAGACGGGACTCTAGCCACTGGAGTATGCAGTGCAGAATGACATCACATAGGGGCTATGGCTAGCAGGACAGCAACACACAGTCCTCTTCACTGTCAGCAAGCAAGGCTGGGCCATCTGCAGATCAAAGGGAGTTAACAAACTTCCCTCCAATCCCCACACTGTACTCTTCTTCAGCTAGTCCAGTTTCTCAGATTATGTGCTTAGCACCTGGAATGTCAAGTCTGAAGCACACCTTTCCCAAATGTAGATCACTCAGTAGTCCTTTGTTCTGTCCCCCAAACTGCCGCGTGGTCCACGCACAGGTTCCACATGAACACAATCCAATGTATGCAACCCCAATCTTCTCCACATTAGCCACAATTTGTCAGGACCCACAAAGTGAAGCGCATTTACGTAGCCAATAAACACAAGCAACTATCTCCCTGTTGCCCTATACTTTTAGTTAAGACTCACCAGATGTCAGCGACCCTCTTTCCAGATCCCTTTCTGAATCTGGCTTGCACGTGATAGCTCCCTGTTGATGTACTTGCTTTATTACTTTTTCATCATTTGAGCAAAATTTCCCGTGCATGTGGTATTCATGACATCGCTAACTTCTGCGTCCTGTAGTCACTTTCTTTGGAACGGGCACATGTACAAATCTCTTCCAACATCTGAGTCTTGTTTCTCACTAATGCCTTCTATGTATCAGCTTCCTCTTTCACAACAAATTCCTAGGGCTTTCCAGGCAAAATAGTTACTATGAACAATAAAGGCAACTTGTGCCAAGGCAACCCAGAGCCAGAGCCCTGGTGGCGGCTTGGTTAAACACCAGGCTGCTCACCAAAGACTGGCAGTCTGAACCCACCGACGAGTTCTATGGGAGCAAGACCCGGTGACTTACGCTTGCCAAGGCCATTCTATTCCGTCACATGGGCCCACAGTGAGTCAGAATCGAGTAGATGGAACTGGAAATAAGGTACACATTCTTCTCCTCAAGAGTTGGCCTCAGACATACTCACGGCTCCTGCACATGGTGCTTATTCTCATCCTCCCCTCGGGGCCTCAAGCATGGGAACCTCCTGTGCAGAGATCAACTCTGTCCTACCCGGTGTCCACCAGGTCCTGGCACTGGAGGTACCCATGAGGGGTGCTGGATGAGCCAGAGATTTCAACAACAAAATCCCTCCTGACATGGCCACCTGCTGGTCACAGAGAGAAGGAAGACCAACCTCTCTCGGAGTGGAATGAAGTGTTCCTGATGACATTCTAGGACACCACTTGCTACTTGGGAACTGCACACACGATGCCACAAAACTGCTAACTACTGCCCTTTTAAGCTCCTACTTTTGAAATCCGATTTTTGACCGACCGAGTGATAGACCAGCTCAAGCGAGGCTATTCTGCCTTGATACCCAGTTGTGGACTGACAGAGGAGCTGCCAAGACAGTCCGGAGCACTCCCATGATCCCCTCATGCTCACGTCATACACGGCCACGGCGCCTGTTACCATCATAAAATCAGCCTGGCCACGGGACAACCTGCCCACTACAGACTTTACTCCGAGTTCCCTCGTTTGTCCACAAATGTTCTTTTTAACAGAGATGTCAGGGTCCCACCCAGGATGCCACATGACATTGTCACTGTCCTCTTAGGAAGTCTCCCTGGCAGTACTGTGGGATAGGTGCTGGGCTGCAGACCACAGAGTTGGTGAATCGGCCACCAGCCGCTCCTGGGCAGCAGAATGAGGCAGTCAGCTCCCCTAAAGACTGATGGCCTGGGAGCCCGTAAGAAACAACTCAGCTCTGCCTCACAGGTCGCCGAGTGGGGATGCACCAGCGGTGGGGGAGTGGTTTGCTGGCTAGTCTGGCCTTGCTGTTGCTAGGCGCCATGGAGCGGGTTCCGGCACACAGGGACCCCATCTAAACCACCGCGGGGCAGAACCAGCTCCTGGGCTCGCTCTGTATCAGGTCAAGGTCTTTCTGTGGCTCTCATGGTCCTGACTGTGGCAGAACTGGGATCAGAACCTGGCAGAATCCCTCACACAGTGAGGGCAGTTCCACTGGTTTCACTGGCTGAGAGAGAGCCAAGCGTGTCTGGCACAAGTAGCACCAGGGAGAAATCCAGCGCTCGTGATACGTGCGCCCGTGCCCATCACTGGCATTCTCCTCAGATCATGTAATTGCCACCACACAGGACAAGTCCCCTGAGTGTTAACTCTGAACAACCCTCTAGATATGGAAATGGGGAGGGAGGAGGCCGGGCAAACAAAACAGCCTCAGAGAAGACCCTGAGCCGACCGACCCATTCTCTCCGACTCAACAATGGGTGGAGGTGAATTTTTCAAAACCAATTGAGCAGCCAAGATGGTAAATATTTCCTTCAATACGTCTAGAATAACTATTTGCTTTTTACATCATAGCTATTACGTGTGAGGAGAGAAACAAAAATAACATTTTACTTTTTCAAAACCAATTCACCACTGGTGAAAATGGGTTCATAAAACGTGATCATTGAATTTTTAGATAAGAGATTCTAATTACCTTGACAGAATCCAGTAAACTCTTAGGGAAAAACCGCTTTAAACCAACATCTTTTCTGAAATACAAAAAGAAGTGTATTAACAAATAATGCCACCACATTCATTAATTCAAAGACATTCTTGCACAAGTAAAGGAGTATGTTCTGTATCTGTCCACGTCTTCCTTCCTCAGGAGGCTGACCAGCATGTGCTGGGGGGGGTGGGGGTGGGGGTGGGGGTGGGCACAGAACTTATTGTTTCCCAGCAGATAGGTACCGAAAACACAAACACACCATTGTTTGAAAATAGACAATCTTTTGTTTGCTTTTTACCTTTCTTGCTGAAAACTTAAAATATTGCCCCACTGCAAAGTCCAGTGCACAAATAAAGTGTCACTTTTTCAGATATTACTTGCTGCCTTGACGGTTATCCTAATAAAATCAGCTCCAACTGGGAGGAAGGCAGACTAGTCAGATTCAGGGAAGTCTAAAAGACACACAGACTCTTGGACCTACTGTAACAGCCGACTGTGTTTTAAGAACCTTTGGGGGCAAGGGATTTGTCCATCCAGTTGAGGTTTAACATCTCAATCTCATATAAGGTACAAACAAGAGACATTTGGTACTTTGTCTACAGCGCTGGACTTTTTCCGTGTGGGAACAGGCTAGATGGAGCAACCAAGTTCAATTAGCTGTCACGATCAGACTCTCAGAAGCTCTGGTGGGGGAGTGGGTTACGCATTGAGTGGCTGACCACACATCCATAGCTCAAACCCCCTTCATTCTGTGCAAGAAAGATGAGGCTGTCTGCTCCTGGAAAGATTTATTCTCGGGAGCCCATAGGGTACCCTGAATGGTTGCTGTGAGTCGGAAGTGACTCAAAGACAGTGAGTTTGCTTTGTTTTGTTTCTGAAATTGAACCCTCTGAGCATGCGAGCCAAGGAGCCATCTGGGGAGGGAAAAAGAAGGGAAAGAACAGCCTGACCCAGGTTTCTCGGCCACCAGATGGCACTCGTGCACTGGTAAGATGAAGTTCCTGCTCACAGGAGGCTCTGCGTGAGCCTTGTACTCAGGTCTGTCCTGTGCTAAGATGGACAGGCACATCCCCGGTTCACAGAGAACTTACTGGACTCAAGACGCAGAGTTTTGGGAAGCCTATGTGGGTCACTGAATCTGAATTGACTGATGATGTGGGTTTAGGGTGGGTGGTTCTGACACAGAATGAAAAATGAAAGCGGTTCTATGGCTCCAGAAAGTGAGAGCACTTCTTTGGGAAAATCAGGACTGTTAGTAGGTGCTGCGTATTTTCAATGCTCCAAAGGCAATGGCGCCCCCATTAAAGAAATACAGCTTCAGGCCAACGGAGGTGCATGTGTAGCACGTGAGCACACCTGCATTTGAAAGGCACCTTCTGGGTAGTGATTAGTGAGGACCCTTCAGGAGGGCAGGGGACATGAGGGAAACACAAAATGAGGCCACGGCCCCTGCTGTGACACCTGCCACTGCCCCAGCATCCCTCGGAACCCAATTCTGTTCACGATGCGAGAGACCAGCCGGAGCTGGGTGAGACTTTGCGAGCCTATTACTGACATCTCAATTTGAACTTTCTCTTAGGAGCCACACGTAGGACACATGCAGGCTCCCTTGCCCCTAGTAGAGGGGGCGCTGGCTGCTAGGGGCCCTCAAATCTGCAGCTGTTCAGCCAGTGTGGGTTCTGTGCTGCCCCGAGCACGTGTTCAAGAGGTGACAGACACAAATACGCACCCTATGCATCAGAAACGGAGCCTGACTCCGCACTTGCGCACGTCCAGGAGCATCAGTGGCTTCAAGGGAAAATTACATTTCCTTTCATTCCATCTCTCACCAACTTTTTGAAGCCCTTTGTATCAACAGAGGTTTCATCTTCAATGCATGTACATCCACCGAAAACATAGAGTCATTTACCGACGAAAGCTTTTACAAAGTGACTGAACCCTAATTCCCAAGCCCAAGGTTAGGGTGCTAAGAAGGTTCCCTACTGGGTCCAAGAGCACTTTGTTAACCCCACAGCTGACCAGATATTTATGTTAACTCAAGGCCGAGCTGTGTGGATACAGTAACCCTAGCCACGTGCAGCTATTTTTACTTAGATTAATGGAAATGAAATGTGAATTGCCTTCCAGGTCATACTGGCCAGAGGCTGGCAGCACACTGGCCGGGCAGGTGCTCTGCACGGGCATCACTGCAGAGTTGAGGCTTGGCGTATGGGAGTCTCGAAGATGAGCGGTGCTGTCGGTCTGGGCATGCCTCGGTCAAGGCCTGGGTCCAAGGTGGGTAGAGGATGGCTGTCATAGGCAGACACCACAGGCACAGACTGCAAGGGGGTGCCGGCAGTGAGCAGGACACATGGACAAGGCAAGAAGTGCCGTGAGGGCAGGGAGGGCCTTGCTGCCTTCTCTCTGAGCTTGAAGGGTTGGTTTCTACAGCAGCACCATCGAGATACTCCCATCCCCACCCCCGTGGGTGCTCTGCTGTGCCTGCACCTGCCCAGTGTGCATTTGTGGCCACACCCACAGAACCAGAGACCTAAGAGAGCAGAGCTGCCTGCAAAGGTGTCTGAGCTCATCGTGAGGGAGTTCTGCCATCAAGGACGAGGGGCTCCTCCGTGGACAACGCTTCTGAGAAAAGGCTGGCCTCGTCCCTTCGTCTTGTATCCCAAATTAACTGCCCTTAGGAGGGCATTTCCATGTGGCATCCCCTGGTAAGCTGTCATCGGAACAATCAGAACCGAGCGTTTTCCATTGAAAAGCACTGAAAAGGTATTTTACAAGCAGCCTGGAGGTGCAGGGGGATATGTGTCCGGCTGCTAGCTGCAAGGCTGGTGGTTCAAAGACCACCAGCTGCTCCTCAAGAGTGAGGTGGGGCTGTCTACTCCCTTAGCGATTCACAGCCTCAGAAACCACACCGAGCAGCAGTTCTGGGTTTGTCTGACAGGACCGGTGAGTTGCAAGTGAAACAACAGCAATGGGGCTGGTTTTCTGATTTTTTACTGACGAGCTTTCACTTCCAGCTCATACTCCAGGCCTCTTACACCTGGTGGGTGGCTGGTAAGGTTCTCCCTCGCAATACTCTACCTGGGCATCCTGGGTGATGCAGAGTGGTGGTGCCCAGACAGGCAGCACCCATACAGCACCCCGGTGGGTAGCTATGGCCAGGGAGACTCCACTGTGGCACCAGTGAGCTCGTGGCGGTGCCAGCCTTCAGGAAATAAAATACCACGGACGGGAGCTGGCACAGTCATTGCCTCGTACCTCCTGTTTGCCGACAGAAAAGGCAGGCAAACCTGCTGCCGTCGGCTCAATCCCAACTCACGGCAAGCCGACAGACACTGCAGCACGGCCCAGAGGGTTTCCAAGGCTGTTCCCCTTCCGGGAAGCAGGCGGCCGCATCGTTCCCCTGCAGAGCGGCTGGTGGCCTCCAACTCTGACCTTCCGGCTGGCAGCCTGGGGCTTTAACCACTGCTCCGCCAGGCCTCCCTGGAGGCTGGGAGACTACAGAACAAACTTCTTCAGTTGGCTTGAAGGAAACAAGCCTGAAGTGTTCCCCACCTTCAGAAAGGGGAAAGGTGATGGAGTTGGAAAGAGTACGGGCTGCTCCCCATTTGGCTGTCAATACTGGGAGGGGCTTTCAAAGCCCTGGTGGGGGCTAAGAAGCTACAAGGGAAGGATGAGTGGCCGGAGCAAACCACCGAGCAGGGCTGTGTGTCCAGGTGACGCGTTCTGTGCCGGGGAAACAGATACTCCTAAAAAGCCTCAACTTTCTAAAAACCTCCAAGGGCCACAATGCCATGCTGAGCCCGCCGCCCTGCAACCGAGCCCATGCAGGACACACGAGTCACAGGGCATCCCAAGCCAGCACCCCTCAAAGCTGCTGCCATCAGTGCCCTTACCCACACCCACACCCCGGGGAAGAGAACCTTCGGAAGGCTGAAGCATGACCTCCTGGGAAGAAAGAGGAGGTGTTCTGGTTCCGTAAAGAGCCAGTCCTGGAGGAAGCCCGCAGGGGCAGTTCTGCCCTGTCTTGGAGGGTTGCTAGGAGGCGCCACTGACTTGTTGGCAGCGGCCACGTGACAGAAGATGAGTGCACCCTGTCACCAAAAGACACGGACAGGAAGCTAGAGACAGCACCCACACCAGGAGGAGAGCCTGGTACACCCTGGACGGCTTCACACGCACCCTGATCCACAAGCAGGTCCCAAGGCCCCGCAGCCCCCTGACCAAAACACGCAGAATGTGGAGGCGAAGACCACCCGCTGTGGCCAGCAGGACCCCGGGGCTATCTGCGAGGCGAGGAGGGTGAACCTGGCCCTCAGGTACTGCCCTTGCACCCTCCAAGAAGGCTGGGGTGGCACTACTCCTGGGTCGTGAGAAGCTGCCACCGCAGCAGAAACAAAGCCTCCATTCTCTCACGCTCAAGCTACCTGTGGGTTGAGAGTCAGAGCAAGAGCAGCAAGGGCGGGCAGAC